TAAAATAGATAATGAGGGTATAAAATTGTAATAAAATGTGATTATCATCAAGTTAAGGTATTCCTAACGCAAACCTAATCACTTTTTCCCACATTTTTTCTGCCTTCACAAACAAGAACCTTAAAGCTCTCAAATTGAAGTACCATTCGCCAGTAAATAGTAGCAAAATAAACTTTAGAAAACAATTGCAAATCCCAAAAGACTTGATTTTGCCCAAAATCACCACCTTCAGTTTTCAATTCTCTTCTTAAATCAATTCACAGCCTTCACTCTACTAAACTATCCAACTAAATTGGAAACTAATTGAATTAACCGGAGCGATATCGACCAAACAGCAAGTACCTTAGCAGAGGACGCCATTTCCATCCCTCCAACGTTGGAGAATTGGAGAGAACCCTCCAAACTGACGCTCGCCGCCGTCTCGGTTCGCCGAAAAAGGACCGAAACCCTACCGAAGACTCATCGTCGTCGCCGGCTAGGGTTTGTTCGTGATCGTAACCGATGCCCAAATTTTGAGAAGTAAGGAGATGATGGCAGAGGGGTGTGGTGACGACGAGGATAATAATACTCATCGTTGGCAATTAATGATTTAAGAAAGTGGGACATAACCGAAGGTGGCTGCAAACTGACGGGGTGGAAAATGAAAGGAACGAAGGCTTTTAGGGCTCCCGATTTATTAACCCTGTGAAACTATCAGAAGCTATAAATTTGTTATATTTACAATATTTGAAGGGTATTTTAGGGAAGAAAAAGTTTTTCTAGAACTCACTCTTTTAAAGGGTAGATGATAGATGAATTGTCACACGCCATCACAATAACTAAAAAAAATCATGTCAATACATGGAGGGATTTACAACCGTCAGATTTGAAAAATAATCTGACACGCTTAGCATTTAAGAAAATTCTAAAACCCTATTTTTCCATCTTCAAAACCATTTTTGGTTATTTTGACAACATAGGTGGATTATAAGCTACTCATTTACCAAACACTTTATTACTAAAAATAACTTATAATCTATTCGTATATTATAATCCACTAAATTTACCGAACACTTCCGCTTATAGTCTTTTTCGTGGATTATAATCCAAAGTTTGTCAATCATAGCCTGGTATTCTTGCTATTGAAGGCATCACAATTCCTTCGCATGTTTGGTTACATTTTTGGAAAACACATAGTTGCTACAATACCGTGGAATTGGATGTTCCGGCTCATGCCTGTCAGCTACAGTAACACAACCCTGTTTCCTAGCTTTTCGCTGGAAATTTGCTGAGGGCCCACCAACTCAGTTACAGTAACAGTGACACGACCATTTTGACCCACCAAACAGAACAGTTGATTGCAATACTATAACTCCTGACACCTACTGTATTGCAACCCAAAAACTCTCAAAAAGTTAGCAACCAAACATGCCCTTAGTCATGACCAATCCTCATTCACAAGTCGTACCAAGCTGATGAGAGTTCGGAATCAGACTAGACTTTGACGCCATCGATCGTAATTCGTAGGGAAAATGTCTGATAAGCCCTCGGACTTACCAAGTCGTCCGACGAAACTCGGTCGAAGTTGTCCAAAGACCACGACGTCCAAATACGACAAACGTAGCACTAGCTCTCCAACCCCCCCCCCCCCCCCCCCCCCCGCCTCTTCAATAAAGAGAGAAGACACCCGCTAAGCTCGGCAGGAAAAAAAAAAAAAAAAAAAAAAAAGCTACACTCCCTAATACCTATCCAACTCAATGACTCCCCTCCGATCAAAGTCATCAAACCTACAACACCAACGTCCGCAGATGAGCCGAGACGCCTGCCTCCGCTACGTCACACGACATAATCCGATCAAAACACTCGTCTAAGCGAATCATCCTCGAATCACGCCCTCTTACCTTCCGCGCCAGCCCCTCCTCCGCCTCCGCTCCGTTCCCGCCCTTCCTCCGCCGCCATCTCCTCCTTCTTCTCCAACGTCCACTCCCTCTTCCCCCGCTCCGGCTCCGCTTACTTCTTCCGCGCTGGAACCCTCCGCGACGCCGTCTTCTACCTTCTCGACTCCACCTCCGACTCCCCACGTACCGGGACCCGCAACCTGATCCGTTCGTCCCGTGACGTCTACCTCACCCACCTTCTCCTCTCCAACGGACTCGTCGCTGTGTCCGGTCCGGGTTACGCTACTATGTATGCAATCCTGCAACAATGAAGTCGGCGGCAATACCACTGCCGCCCCGCTGCCTGCGGCGGCACCATGTGCACGTGCACGCTCGACGACTTCAGCCAAAATAAAACGACAACACGTAGCACTAGCTCTCCAACCCCCCCCCCCCCCCCGCCCCCCCCCGCCGCGCCTTTCAATAAAGAGAAGACACCCGCTAGCTCGGAGGGAAAAAAAACAAAAAAAAAAAAAAAAGCTGCAACATCTCCCTACATACCTATGCCAAGCCTTCCAATGGACTCCGCACGGCCCTCACGATCAAAGTCATCAAAAACCACCACACCAACGTGCCGGCAGATGAGCGCAGACGGCCTGCCTCCGCTACGTCAACGACATAATCCGAATTCAAAAGCACCCTCGTCTAAGCGACAACTCATCCTTCGAACAACGCCCTCGCTCTACTCCGCGGCCGAGCCCTCCTCCCGCCTCCGCTCAGTCTCGCCGCTGCTCTCCTCCGCGCGCATCTCCTCCGCCGCTTCTTCTCCCAACCGTCCACTTCACCCGTCTCCCACGCGCTCCGGTCTGCCCGGCTTACTTCTTCCGCGCTGGCCCGCTCCGCCGAGCGCCGTCTGCTACGCTCCTCTGATCATCCACCGTCGCCCCGACTCCGTACCGGCGACCGCCACCCTGTCCGTTCGTCCCGGACGTCTCCGCTAGCACCCACCTCTCCTCTCGAAGCGGACTCGTCGCTGCTGTCGCGGTGCCCGGGTTTACGCTAGCTGATGTATGCAAATCCTGCAACAATAGAAGTCGCGCGGCATACCACTGCCGCCCCCCGCTGCCGTGCGGGCGGCAACCGATGTGCCACGTGCAGCGCTCGTGTACCATCCGACGCTCTTGGCAGATTTCTCGGCCGACTTCCATTTGGTAGGCTGGCTAGACAATGCATCTTCATAATCAAATTTTATCGGTTTTTTTGATTTTGTATAATACTAACCTATTATTCCCTTTGTACATATTATTGGCTTCAATTAATTGGACAGGTGAATTGCATGACACCAACCAAAACTTCTCTCTCCATGTATATCTGCCATCCGCCTCCGCAGTTGGTGCGGAGGTCCAAGGTGGCGGGTCCCTGCCCTGCGGCGGCAGTGGAGGAGAATGGTGGGCCAGCGTGGCCGTGGACGGCGGTGGCATACTGGCGGGCGACGGACGATTCGGTTAGCTGCGTACGATCCGCGAAACGACAGCTTGACCAGTGATCGATACGCCGCCGTGGGGGGGCAGAGGGAGGACAATGAGGTGGCAGCTGGGGGAGGTGGGAGGGAAGCTGTGCTGTGTTGGGGGGGAGAGAGGGATACTGGAGGTGTATGAAGCTGGTGACGGACAACGGCGCCGGCGTGGCGGAGGAAGGAACGGCTGTGGAGGTTGACGGCGATCCGTGGCCGTTGATTTGGCCCTAGGGGATGGATGACAGGGTTGTGTACTGGATGGATGAAATGATACTGAGGATTGATCTGAGGAGCAGAGAGTCAAGGGTGATGAGGATCGGAGTGCCGGAGGAATGTGTGAATGGCTTGCCTTACATTAGCAGTCTTGTATCAGTGAAGGAATTTGGGTCTGATTAAGGATGATTAGTTGCATGAAGATGTTGTGAGGTGAATATTCATTTGTCCCGTTGGATGGTAGAATCACGAGATTGAATTATGAAGATTTCAGCTGTGGTTGATGATTTTATGCTCCACAAATGACACTGTTTTAATGGTAAGGCTTAGATAATGACAGTAGTGATGATGATGACTTTGATTCTTGAATTTAGTAAGCAAAGAGCGCATCATTTTGATACTTTCATCAGTGGCTTCTCAGCTGATGTAAATCTTTAAGGTTTTCGATGCAGCTGAATTGATATGACTATTGATCATGGATGGGTTAGCCAAAAAAAATATAAAGTGAAGTGTGCGATATAAGCCGGCTCAATTTATACTGGTGTATGGTTGCAGTTAAGTTCCATTCTCAAAAAGATAAGCGCGTATATTTGCAATCAAATAGAGATTAATTCAATAAGTTCTAGATATCGGTTGCCCTTTCTGAAGAAACTTCCAGTAGAAGTAACTATATTTCGACAAGGCTCAGCCTGCACAATATTGGCACTTATTAGGATTTGCGCCCAGTATAATGGAGCAACTTTGTTTCATGAATGTGTTATGTATTATTCATACTTTATCCCGACTAAGGAACTTATTTGAAATTTAACACATAACTGGATGGTTATCATCAGGCTTTCTGAATTCCACAACCGGCTGTGAGGATGTGAATATTAGTTGGCAAAAATGGCTGGAGTGGCGAGACAAATAATTAATTCATGTACAACAAAAGGACAAGTTTTCAAAATGGACCATATTAGAAATTTAATTTTGAAAAAGAACCCTTTTGAGATTTAATTACTATTTTCGACGCAGTTTCTACCACCCGGCCGAAACTGAGTCGAAAATGGTAAAAAAAGTTTCGAAAACTTCACGGGATTCTAAATCCCGTGAAATTTAGTTTGATGGTTATTAGACTTAGGCTGGTTGTATTTTGATTAGGTTGGGTCATTAAGCACTAAACTTCACGGGATTTAGAATCCCGTGAAGTTTTATTTACCATTTTCGACCCAGTTTCAGCCAGTTGGCTGAAACCAGGCCAAAAATGGTGAATCAATTACAAATGGGTCGAATTTTACAAATAAATTACAAATGTTGTCCATTTTGAAAATTTGTCCACAACAAAATTATTAGAAGAACAAACTATTATCATCTAAGTTATATATCTTCTTCTGGTATACGATTCCACAAAATCTACAATGCGTAAAAGTGCGATCTTGCCATCTTTGCAAATCATCTTATAACCAAATGTTGATGAACAAGACAGCGTAACGATGATATCTTTACGTGTAAATATTACCATATTGCTGTCAGGATATACAAATTTACAGGAAAACTATTAATACGACATGTTTGCCTAGTCTTCTGTACAACTTAGAGAAATTATGATCATACCAAAAGGAACGATGATATCCAGATTCCTAACGAAACGATACCCACCGTAGCAAATGCTTGGCTCATCTCATAGAAGAAGTTGGGCCCTTGAGGAGGCACGCTCTGCCAATCTGTCCTCCTAGAGAACACAAAACAAGCATAACAAATCAAAACCGATGTTGGACATAATTAACTAGTGAGAAAAATAACAAACATGTTTTAGATCCTGACGATCACAAGGAAAATAAACTGTCATGTTGTATTGTATTGGTGAGATCAATATATTTAGGAGACACTAGAGTGGAGCAAGGCAAGGCATGGCAAAACAAAAATATCTTTCACCCTTCCATAACCTATAGATTTCTCAGATTTATTAACAGTGATAAACAACATAATGTGTTAGCTAAGCTGTATTATTATGGTATATGTACATTAAATTAGAAATAACGATGGTGAACTATTATGTAAGTGAGGAGAATACCCTAAGTCAGCTATCACAATGCTTATATTGTCTTGTGACTGCCGATCCTGTAGAAGAATATAAGGAAATCATAAATACACCTAAAATGACAATTTCATTTTAAATAACGACTGAATTTTCAAAAAAAAAAAATGCAAGAAAGTTTTCAGATGAAGAAGTACCAAAGTAGCCTGAGCAAGAGCTTCACAAGCCAGCTGAAAAGTAAACAAGCACATACTTAGCTTATAGATGAATAATGACATACAATATGACATTAGATTTTTTTTTAAATGAATATTGTTAAGGGGCACAAGAGGAACCTGAACATCACCGTGTTGTCTGAGTTGATTCCTAACGAAAGTTACTGCATCGGAGCTAGAATTGATGCAAATTTCCCATGAATGTCAGTGTATTTTTAAGAGTAAATTGCACGTAAGTAGAAGAAGCATGCAGTTGTAACATAATTCACCCTGGAAATAGCACAACAAACCTCTTCATGTAATCCCATAAACCATCTGATGCAAGTAATATGAACTCCACATCAGATCCCAGATCAAGTTGATATATATCTGGAGATGAGGTCACCAAATCATCTTTGAACCGTATTCTGTCAACATAGCAAGGTCCATTGTTCATTCATTAAAATTTTAAGCAGCAGATTAACGAAAATTCGTATGCATTACTGATGTGGCACACATCCATGCCACTATGACCCAGAACAACAACTTACCCAGATCATAGGTGAGGGCTAGGATGTTTGCCATATTAGTGCCACCATTAACTAATCCATGTATGCATGCATCATTCATGCATGCATGTATGTATGTATGCAATTATGCATGCATGCAATTTGATGGTAATGAAGTGACGGCTCATTTTATTAAATGAGCTATCACCACAAAATAAAGGTGGTGAAACAACCCAGGGGCAGATCTAGAAACTTTGCTCTGTAGGGGCAAGATTGTAAGCATAGTTGTATGGAACCCAGTTCGTTCTGGTTCAGGAACGAGAACGGAAGCGTCGTACGCCACTCATTAAGAATCGGGTACAATGGTGTAAGCTTATATAGTATGCTAGGGAATGTGATATGTTTTGGATTTGGTTCTTAAATGTAGGAATTTAAGGATCTACAAGAGTCAAATTTAAGCAATATGCTAGTTGACATAAGTATTGCTAAAAGAACCTTGAGGATTATGTTGTAATTAAGGTATGGATACTTAATTTACATAATTTCTCATGTTTTTTTTTTATTTTTTATTCTTTTAACAAAGTGTTATTTTTTTAAAAAAATTAAGTGGTTTGAATTCTAAATCGAGTCGATGGAGTTGGTGAATCGGGTCGTGTTCCATCGCGAACCCGGGATAATTGAACCCAGGTCGCAGTTCGTTATAGCATCCTATGTTCCTGACATCTATGATTATAAGCTACAGGTAACTAGTGTATGATACTTTTAGCTAAATTTTAGGAGCTTTTCATATTAGCAAGGTTATCGATAGCAGATAGGGTTGTGTAGTGGTGAGCCATCGCTAAAGCTATTTGAGGCTATTGTGACAAAATAGCGGTAAAAAACGTAAAGTCAAATAACGGTCTAATTTAGATATGTATAAATATTTATATATATATATATATATATATATATAAGTTTAGAAAATCTAAAAGTGTGTTTGATGATTTAAAGAGATCCTAAATATGAAATAGACATGTAACCATCACATAATACCGAAGACAACTGGAGAAGTAAAAGATTTGTCATCTTCGAGAAGATGAGCCAAGCGGTGAGAGAATTGTACTAGGAGGGGCTCACGGTGAGAGGAGGTGAGAGGAAGTGCTGAGGGAGGTGCCAGAGGTTATTGGAGGCGGCGGGAGTACGCCGGAAAGCGAGGGAGGCAAGGGAGGCAATGGAATGTAGTTGTTGGGTTGGGTTTAACTTTAAAAAAATAAATCTCAAACCGCTTTTAAATAGCGATAAAAAAACGGATTTTACCCGCAATCGCCCGCTACTCACTGTTGTGGTGCGCTATTGGCCGCTTTTACAAGCGAAAAATGCATATTCCGCAATATGTCACCGTTATTGGGCGACAACGTAGCGTAGCGGAAAGGGACCGCTAATGCTATTAGCGCCGCTATTGCGGGGCTATTTACCGCTATTTATAACAGTGCATATTGGTCTCCCAAATTTTAAATATTTTAAAAGTAGTCCCCTAAAAATCTCTTGAATTGTTTTAAAATTAGTCCCTACAATTACCAAGTAGAAAGATTTGGGAGGCTAATTTCACACACTTTATGTATTTGGGGGATTAATTTTAAAATATGAAGATATGAATGACGAATCTCAAAGTATGACAAATTTGGGGAACTAAGATCGAGAAAACCTAATATTAATGACGCCAATACAAATGTGCTATGTAGAAATAAAATAGAGTCAATAGAAGTACCTAATTAAAATTCTTTACAATTGTTCCCTCTATGTCGTTCACAATTCGCGAGTAGATTCCTCTCACGATTACAGAGGCAAAGCGAAGACCGGAGGGGTTTTTGTTTTAGAATTTGGATAAATTGATCATTAATGAGAATTTAGTTACTAAGTTAAACATTCTGGTAAATGGTTTGAGGTTGATCCTAGACGTTTATTTTCAAAAGCCTTAGCTATGGGGTCAATAAGGTCAAATATTGAGGGGGAAATTTGAAAATAAGGGCATCATATTAAATATTAATCGTATTAGATTAGTGGGGGCAATTGCCCCTATCTTGGATCCACCTATGAAGGTGGGCCTCACTAGATGTCCATCTCTTGATAGCCCATTTAGCAAAATGAACGGCAACCTCATACTCATTATTTGCATCTCTTGGTAGCTCATTTAGCAAAATAACGAATTATACGATAAAAACATGTTAAACTTTTTCAAATAAGAAGTAATTGCTTATATTCTATTACCTTGAGATAAACTTTTCTGTCCATCTCCCCTCCTCAACGCCTTTCTTCAACATCCTATGAAGAAAAGATAACTGAGTAGAGATGGTATAAATTCAATAAGTAGCAGCAGGACATTTTGGAATTAATGGAGGTATTTAGAAATAAAATATCTGCAAGGAATTAAAGACAGAAGTGTACAAGAAACGAACTCATTCTTCTTTGTCTTGAATCGAATATCTCCAAAAGCACGGGATACAGAAATGTCACCACAAATTCGCCCATCAACAATCTATAGGCAACAACTGTTAACTATTACCATCATTTACAGACTTGGAACATAATTCTGAATGATAAATGTAAATGTAAAGCTCACCATCCTAACACAGAAACAAACATCGGATATTAGGTCAAGGGAAAGTAATAGTTTTCATCATCTAATATCAATGAGGGAGCACAATTTTGAATAATGGAGGTCCAATAGAGAGAATGGCCAAAGATTTATCAACAATTCTGAAAAAAAAGCCTCTGAACTGGTACTAAATTCATGGCATAGGTGCAAAGATCATGAAAACCTTGAAAAAATGGGATACCTATTTTACTGATCAAACAACTAAAGATCATTGACAAAAAGAGAATCATCCAAAGTTTTCTTGAAAGGAAGATGTAAGGGGGAATGTTTAATTGCATTCATCCATGAGACACTGTAGGGTTAAAAGAAATACATTATACAAGTCAAAAGAACAACCATTACCAACATCATTATCCACAAGCCTTTCTAAACAGGAATCGGCTCAAATATGGAAGACAATTCATACTTGAGAAGTTCAAAAGCAGAAGTGAATCTTTTGTCAACACAAAGCCGAAGGTATAGCTGTCCATGTGTGTGCAGACACGCATAAATACATATAAATATAACCTACAAGCATAAATACATATGTACATGTATCAAATTTTTTGTTTGTGCACTTCACTGGATGTGCTCCTATAAACCTGGTTGAAAATAAGTTCCCAGAACTAGTAATAAGTCATTCCTTAATAATCCACACGGTGTATCTAGAATATGTGCCTAACTTGCAAGACATCAAGTGGTTTGAGAACTTCCTATGTGTCCTTATCTTCATATGGAAGAAACAATGTATAATATGCAATTTTACCAAACTGGAGAGAAAAAGGTCTTAAAACATGTGTGCATATACATGTAGATAACTAGATATATGAGAAATGCTTCAATTTCATTGATTTCGTATAAGGAACTCTTGTGTATACATGCACAAATATCTTTTGTTTTTAACATGTAGAAAACAAACAGTTCAACAAATTGTATGTCATAGCCGGGACAAGCAGTGTAGTCTAAAATCCCGTTTTATTACAATTTAAACAAGGGAAAGGATTTATTCCTCCTGTGGTATAACTTGCTTAGTCATGTCCATCTGTCAAAGTACATGATATGCTATAAAATTGGATGATCCCCTCTGTTTACATCAGTTTAAAGTTATGTTGCACAGATATGGGTGCAAATACAGGACACGACAAAATTGTAAAAGTTAGGATTCCAGGACACGACTATATATAGATATCAAAATTAATAATCAATATGAGATCGATATTGTTTTCCATTCACATGTTATGAGAACTAAAATCCTTAATATCTTTTTTATGTTTCTGTTATTGAGTAGATTAAAAATTGAAAAAATGCTCATTTTGGAACTGGATACCGAAACGATCATTTAAAGTCATACTTATGAACTAGGTAAGTGCTAAAACGAACCTGTCACGAGTCCAACTAGTTGCATAAATTAGAGGTGAAGTGTAAATTATGCATACAAGAAGTGTATCACAAGTTTTTTAATATAAAACATGTGTTGTATATTGAGTATGCGTCTAAATAAATATATGTATATATTCAAGAAGTGTCCAAGGAGTGTCCGGCACAGACCCGGATATGGGAAGTGTCGGACACAGATACAGGAGGCTAGATGAAGTGTCTGGGTGCCTAGGTTTAAAGTTACTAAAACTTGATAAACATGAATTTTAGACATTTCATCTGTACGACAAAAGATGGTGAAACAAATATAACCAAACAAATGTGATCCATGAGCTCCAATTTTCTGAAATATATGATCTTTAATATTAGCTTTTTAAGTTATGTTATGTACGTTTTTAGAATTGTCAATTGGTAAAACATAACTCAGGTCCATGAGTTTTATAGAATTATATTATTGAAAAACCATTCATTTGCCAATTGCCAATACATTACATGTAGACAGAGGTCAATGAAAATAAATGACCTCTAATGCATAGAATTTGACTAACAAACGTAATCCATGAGTTTTATAGAATTATATTATCAGAAAACCATTCATTTGCCAATTGCCAATACTTTATATGTAGACAGAGGTCAATGAAAATAAATGACCTCTAATGCATAGAATTTGAATAACATAGAGATCACCATGAATGGAGTAGATTATTTAATTTCATTATGTATCATAAATTTGATACATAGACTTAACTAAGCTAATCATGCCCTAGGAGTATTAGAACCTTCCTCAAAATAAAAATCAAAAGAGCCATCATCACCTAATTGTAATTTGAAAAATTGGTTTGTACGTAACTGTGTATATAACATTTTTTCAGTATGTCATAAGTGGCTCTGTGTGTATTTGAGCATAACTATATCTGTATTTCTGATTGTCGGTGTGCACATGTGTATGCACATAATCAGGCATACAGGACTTGATTAGACTACTTAAGCCAGGTCTCTAGAAGAAAAGAATACACTTCGGCCACATCAAAATAGACGTTAACGATGTCTTTACTCTGTGATTACATTATGAAATACTAGCCAATGGCATGTAAACCATTATTTTCATTTACAGATTTCAAATTCCTGGTGCAAATCAAATGTTGAGGTGTTTTATACCATCTTTCAAGATGTAGAAAAATAAAAGCATAGTAAACTTCATATGTGATACTTGTGCTGACACCAAACTGATGATATGAAGGAAACTCGGGAAGGCAAGTCCCACACTTCATGAAGGAAAAAGCATGGAGGATAAGCCTGCAAAAGACAAGGATTTATATGGGCTCTTGATAATTGAGTAGAATACCCCACTGAATAACAGAGTATATGCAGTTTGAATCTGACGTGTCAAACTTCACCACTGAAATTAAAGGTTTTCTATAAATCCACAGACGAAATATCTATATGAAAAGACTAGTACAGCCAAAATATATCCACAAGTACTTTCTCAGAGGCCTGTGTCAGGTTGTAAGGGTTCAGAGTGGTTGGCGAAAGTCTTTGCCTGAGGTAGGCTACAGATTCTGCTCCAATAAATCGTAAATTAAAAGAAAATTAAGATATTAAAGTAACCAAGAATACTAAGCCTTCATTTTCTATAGTACACTAGCTATGGAGTTATAAGTGCCCAACCCTTCACTTGCTACATCATGTAGCTTTATCTGAACTTGTAAGTATCTGAAATAGCTCTAGAAACTAGTTTACACTTCTATAAGAGTATGATCAAACTAATAACTAAAAGTTTCATCACGTGAGTGTTTTTTGAGAAAAAACTAAAAAGTGGATCAATACTATATGAAAATAGGACGGCTTCAAGATACTTAATCTTCTGAAGAAATAAAAAGACACACCCATCCACCAGCTGCTCTAATCCGCTTTACTTCTTCAAGGGAAACTCTATTATTTCCATAAGGTCTGTGTGGACCTGTCAGGATTTCTGCTTTTCCAGTTCTGGATATAACCTGCATTCAGGAAATTTCCACAAGGGAAAAAGCTACTCATTGTCATTTCATCATTTAAGAAAGCCAATTTTCTAGAGTACATGGAAGCTAAAATATGAACATCATTAAATGAATAGCAAAATACCACGCACGAATCACCAACATGTGAAATAATCAGGACACCTTTTCCCAAAAACATGACTGTAGCTGTTGCACCAGAATCAACATCCTTCCCGATCTGTTCTAGCCTTCACAAACAAACCAAAAACAAGACACATAAACCTACTAAATGTAATGATAGTTATATCTACTGAATAAATACAGACACTCCAGTTGAAAAAGTTATAGGGCTCTGCTTATTGAAATTTTTACAACTTTGCTATGAGAAAAGAGTCCTCACCAAGTTAAAAGTTTTTTGTCAACAGTTTCAAAAGCTTTTGCAATTCCAGCCTTTATAGCATCAAAATTTTTACTTGTCAACAGCAACCCACCTTGCAATACCTCCACACATTCATTATATAATTCATCCCTGCGAGATGTAAAAAAGATGAAATTACACATATACCGAAATGTAAGGTAATATTGCAATAATCCCTACACAGAATTTAAAGAAGATAAGAAAAACTTCTTGAGATTTTTATATTAAGTTATCTGATAACATTCATGAAATCAGATTTAGCTTTTTTCCATCTAGTTGCAATTCCTTGTAATAGATTTTACACTAGGGCTATACAGGCTATTTATCTTTCCCAATTCCATGAACAGATCACTATGGTGTCCACCATATGGAATGTTAAATAACTTTAATAGAAGGGGAAATAAAATATATTATATATGAGTGGAGAATGAGAAAAAATGCCAATTAAACCAATAGGCCTTCCTGATCATATATGTCTTTGGGCACACAAATTGGCTGTTGAACACACCTGTCGTTTTTTTTTTTTAAATTTCCTTTCAAAGAGAAGTACCCTTTTGGATTGATTGCATAGGGAAACTCATCTTGTGAAGTTAGAGATAGTATATGACAGCTGTTGAAAATACAATGTATCTTCTACAATGTTGTACTTTGATGTACCAGCTAATTATTTCATAGGCGTTTATACAAATTGAATATATAAGGATCCATTTGCAGATGCATATCCGGTATGGTGACGTTAATCTGGATCTTACGTAACTGTATATTCAGGAGAATGTTATGCTGAGATCACAGTTATTGGCAATTGTTCTGAAGCTTCATGCATTGAAAACTAGTGAAAAATATGTAAGCACTACAGAGATAAGTGTTTATTTAAAATCCTCGGTACTTTTCAAGACCTTGCATCCCAAAAAACATGCATAGACTTTCTACCGTAGAGCATGTAAACCCGCACCGTTAATGTTGAAAAGATGATCAAGTATTGGCCATGGCTTACCAATTTGTGAAGCCATATTTACCAAGAGATTCATAACTTTTGCTCATAAAACCACTCATATACGGTCCTGGCTTAATTGCATAAGAGGGCTGCTAAGGCAAGCCTCTGGGGATCCAGAAGAAAAAAGTAAACGACTTTACACGGAGTCCTGTTAGAATGTCCATGAGAAAATGGAGAGGGAGGGAGGGAGAAGGAAGAGGATTAAATTAGAATGATACGCGATTCACCCGAAAAGAACTAAGCCCACTATTAACCAGAGAAGTTCCACTATAACAAGAAAAGAGTTCAATGATACGGGATCACCCAGCTTCGTTCACCACCATACTCTGTTAAGCAGGACTTAAAGAAGACTAAATATCAACAACATAAATTCTCACTCAAAACTGTAGGAAAATTCTTGACCAAGCATAAAGAAAACTCTCCAATACATAGACTCTCATAGAACCTGCTCTTGATAGGATTTCTAGACCATAACAATCCTGTAGAACCCAAATATACTGAAATTTGATACCAAACAATACAAACAAGTAGAATAGCTGACACTTCGACAATGCAGAGAACTGAAGTCATTAGCCAACCCCTCCTCTTTGGATAAATTTTGTTAACAGAGCATAAAGTTGTTGACTACTTCACAAAAATATACAGCTTCCTTTCAGAGGTTCTCTAATTTTTTGAGTTTACATGTGTATAGATTGCTGATTTGGGCTGCTTCCTTCGGTTCCTGTTCTGTTAAGGGAACAGTGCAGTTTGATATAATACTTTGGATATGAAAAGTACGAAAAAAAATCAGAATATTGGTACATTGCAGAGAAGAGGCAGAAACCAATACGAAAATAATAAATAGATACATATAGCTTATAATAGAGTATATGTAATATGCATGCGCGCCAGGGGCGGATCTATATACAGTCCAGGTGGGGCCACGGCCCCCCAAAAATTTTGGAAAAATAAGATAGGGTGGTTTCTGTAAAACCTCCTCCCTTAAAAATTAAAATATTTTCATTCTACATAATTTTTGTCTTCCTCTTTTGAAATATTTTGGAGATATTGGCGTTGGCTATTCTACTCGTTTTGTTTGGGTTGTGATGTATCTCTTGTGAATAAAATTGCATTAAGAAAACTTTTCGTCTATCTTTTGTATGCCCCCCCCTCAAGAACTAAAATCCTGGATCCGCCCCTGGTGCGCGCTCGCATGCGTGTGTGTTGAAAGAGAGAGGACAGAGAGGGAGATATTTTCAGGTGCGTAAATGCAAAAGTCATTTTTCAGTTTTTTTTTTCTTTTTTCTTTTTCTTTTTTTGAAAACTTATACGTTTATCAGGTTGCAAGTGAAATTTAGAACCCATTTAATCAAATTCATAAAAACAAATATTCATGGATTTATGTTCCAAATTCAACCAGTTAGCTGACAAATGTACCACTTCCTCCTAAAACTTCTGTCCTAATTAGTGGCGCACAAATTAGGAGGGATTAGGTTTGGTTAGGGAATATGGGGAATATTGTTTTTATTCATATTCTGGCAAAAATTGAAAGAAGATAGGTTGAAGGCTTTACACCCTCATGATGGATAAAGACATGATAAGGATTCATGCGTTATGATTCCACACCTAACAATTACCACCCGCTGGCCTTTTTTCAAATTAATAATCAATTATCAACTAAAGAATAAAACACAAGGATAAGTATTTGTAGGTTCAAAGGACCAAAATTTACATAGAATAAAATTTGTAATAATAACTAAATAAGAGTTGTAAAACAAACTAAAATTCTTAATCAATCACTTGCCATATACAGATAGGCTAAAAAAGAATTTTTACTAAAATCAAGCACAAGACATTTTTTCTGAAATAAAGTGCACAATCATAATCAAACTAAATTTCCTTTGCTCATAAGTAATCAAGAATAAATTATGATTGATATATAAAGATTACCAGACCTAGAATATACATTCCAAAATAATTGCATCCACAACTTCGTCATAGGTTTCCATTTTAGATAACAAAAACTAAAGACGTAATCAACTGCAAGCTTATAGATCTCCTTTGCAGCTTCACAATGGTTATTACTTATTAGCAATGAATGGATCTCTTAATTATGGTTATGGCTGTTTTCCTGCAGCTGTGTTCCGAGTTTTGACTTTCTTGTCTTTCATTCGTGATCTCTTTTCATCAAATATATCCACTATCCCACCACCTTGTTTTACATCATTAATCCACTGGTGAAAATCCAAGATGTTACAGATCTGTCCTCTTACAGTTTCAAGCAATGGTAAACTTTTGTGTTTCTTTATTTTCCCATCTACAGATAGATTCAATCAACTCTGCTGGGTATTGAGAGATTGGAAGATATCTGATTTCTCTTTCATATTAATCAAGAGATCAGATTCCTTCTCAGAGTTCTTGAGAAGCAGCATCAGCTTGAGATGATGTTAAGACTCTCGAGAGGGAGCTGGTAAGGGAAGACAAGTTACATTTTGGGGATGGGTTCAGGTTTTTGGGCTATGCCATCCAGACACAGAAACATCAGCATTTCTTGAAGGGTAGCCTAGGTTATTGAGCGTGTGAGGACAAATTACACTACATAATTCAAGAATGTCGAACTATTAGAAACCTATTCAACGTGCTGATTTGTCCTCCACAGTTGCAAATGGAGAAAATAAGAGGGAAATCATAGAATAGTTCCCTCTTCTCACCGTCTTACTATCCCTTAAGCAGTAAATGGAAATCTCCCTAGGCTCGAAAAGAAAAGAAGATTAAAATACCTAATGTAAATTGGATCTTGTTAAGAAATCAACTATACATGATTAACTGTGTCCAAAAAATTGTTTAGAGGAAATGTTAGATTGAGACTCAAGTATCCTAGGGTTTAACTAGGGCAGACAGTAGAAGGGTCTAGGGCAGACAGTAGAAGGATTAGGACTGGTTTCACGTACTACTTGGTTCAAGGACTATGCCGCAACGAGTAAATTCACAAAACTACCAGGTACTGCTAGTAGTTCTCACGAAAAAGCATAACTAGTTTTATTAGCAATATACCATAAACTTTCACATCAGGGAGAAAATACCACACACTATCAAAAAACTGTTGAGGATTAAAGTCCTGAAACTACCATAAATTTTCAAATAAAGTTACTAAACTACCATGAACTTTACATAATTGTCAGTATGGACTTTCAAATATTATCGTAAAACTATCATATAATTTGATGAAATTTTGAAATATCTTCTGCTGATTTGAAATTTTGTGGTAATCTTCTCTAATAAAATACTTTTCAAAACCAACAAATAATTCATGGTATTTTTTGAAATTTATCCTTTATGTAAAAGAAACATCTAGAACACACTGCAAAAACATCCTCACTTGTCGTGCCCTCTTCTATAGACAACAAAAAATTGGATAAATCTATAAATCCTTTTCAGTAACTGTTCAGTGTCGTATTGTTCTTTATTAGAGTGGTAGTAAGATAGAGTCGGTTATCAAGATTCTTACTTTTTATGTTGCATTCACTTATTTAAACGGCCAAGAGAAAGCATATAGCATCGTATGAATTTGTGATGGGTTTCCCAGGGCTACCTAAAATACCATGGTATTTTATTAATATTTTATTCTTATGTGTTTCTCGCATGACTAATATACTGCAAGTAGTGATAGTATATAAGTAATTTTGGTACTGAACGTCGAAATTTGTGGTAATTTTAGAGAATTTATACATAATATGGTCTGTAAGTTGCTTATAATTGATTCCATATTGACTTGGTCCACTGAAACAAATAACTAAATTTATGAGAAAACTTGTAAACTGAACTTTAAGTAACCTATATTCATCTATTAGAATTTAGTTTTTACCATATGGTAACGAGAATTTGACATGATTTTAATTGAATAGTCATGATTTTTGTTAAATGTATATGATTTTAGATATAAAATCCAAGAAAATAGATATCAAAATCTTCACCTCCCTCTTGTTAGAATTTTAGAATTCACAATGACATAGATTCATTCTTTTCACTTTTATGCCTGCTAGAAAAAGAGTCATTTGTAGCACTATTATTTATTGTAAAATCGTTCATTCAGTTTTTCTTTAATGCCCACTGAAAAAAGAGAAACTTGTACGGGTAGTATTTAATATGTACTCCATCTTACTTAATGATAATATGTTTGCGTGTTGTAACATAAAAATATAAGGATATGTTCCTGATGGAAAATAAGAGGAAGTATCAAAGAAGATCATATTGTTTAGACTCTTACAATTGTTTAGACAAAATTATTTGTAATTATTCATATATTGGCCTAGGGGGTGATGAAAGAACTCAAAACTCACTTTTGTTTCCGCTATTCATTTTCATAAATTTTTAAGATACAAAATTTGTTACTGTTTTTATACGTGTCAGTCCATATTGTTTAGCATCCTCTTTCTTTTCATTTACATTACATTATTAATCACTGTCCAAATCAATCAAGCACTTGTAGTTAGTGTCATATATGGTATGTTCTGAATCACCATAAATTTTATCAGTACTCTAGAAAAATCCATAAATTTTATCAGTACTCTAGAAAAATCCTAACAAATGTCCTTTAATTCAGGCTCAGAATCATCAACTGACCTAAATTTTGGTGATTCTGAGAACTGGAGATTTTGTTTATCCAATAAAAGATTAAAGGTGCAGTGGTTGTGTTGAGCAATGGAAATATGGAATAATCCTTGACAGGCTTTCTGTAGAAAACCTAGCTGCAGAGAATGGGATGGAAGCTGTCAACTTTTTTCTTGCAGAAGAGAAGTTGAGCATCTTCTCATCGTCAAGCACTTGCCAATAATTGATGCATTTTATCTTTTAATTATCTCAAACTTTACGTTCAATTTTGATATCTATGCAACTGTTTAGAGAGTTATGGTTGTTAGGCAACTGTACAATATATTCCAAGAAATATCTTTATGTATTATAACACAGTCATTTACATTATCACTATGTCAAGAAGATAATATATTATGTTTACACACTTGACTAAATTGAACGTATTCATCATCCTTTTGGCCTCTTGTAACCATTAGCTATAAAATAGAATCCATGATTAGAGACCTATTAGGGAAATATGTTAATTGTTGAACATCATCTGCAACAAAAGTGAGAAATGGAGTAAGATATAGACATATGTTTACGTTACTCTACCTAGGCAACTATTTAGTCATAGAAAACCTAGTGAAATTAGTCTCCATGCTCCAGTAAGGCACAATCATCTTTTGGAGGTCATGAAATCATCGGAACAAAGTTATGAAAAGAGTTTGAATAGTTTATAATGTTGCAAAGTACTGTAAGTTTAAATAAAGTGGCTTTTTCAATAACCTTTATGTAAGTGGGTCTCATACGATCTTCTAAAAATACTGACATCAATAATCAGAGATTGATATTGTCTCAACAAAAGCTACTTGTTATTTATAATATCTATATAGAATTAAACACAATGGACCTGTTATTAGCTCTATGATGCGCATGAACCGCCTTTCCATGTTTTCTAAAGCCAAATTTTCAGTTATTCCATGAGTAAGTAAGATGATTGGTGAACTGCGCAGCAGATACTGAGGCATTTCATCAAGCACCCAGATGGCACAAACATGACAACACAACTTCTTCTTAAATAAAAAAAAGGACAATTTTTATAACAAATAATTCAACAATAAAAAGGTACGGCCTTTGTGATGCTAAACTCAAAATTCTTTCTTAAATTAGAAGTACGAGAGATCAAGAACCTGAGGAACTCAACAGAAGAGAACCCAGCGTGCCCATCAAAAACCGCGGCAAAAGCGAACCCATCAAGCCCATCCGATCGAAGAACCACGTCATCCTCCATCTCCGACCTCCGTCCCTGCACGCTGCTCGATCCCCACCGCACTCCAGACACGCCGCCGGCGAGAGACGAAGGTACGTCGACGGCGATCGCCGAGCACTGCCTCGGCCTCGTCCTTCGAGTTTGAATAGTTTATAATGTTGCAAAGTACTGTAAGTTTAAATAAAGTGGCTTTTTCAATAACCTTTATGTAAGTGGGTCTCATACGATCTTCTAAAAATACTGACATCAATAATCAGAGATTGATATTGTCTCAACAAAAGCTACTTGTTATTTATAATATCTATATAGAATTAAACACAATGGACCTGTTATTAGCTCTATGATGCGCATGAACCGCCTTTCCATGTTTTCTAAAGCCAAATTTTCAGTTATTCCATGAGTAAGTAAGATGATTGGTGAACTGCGCAGCAGATACTGAGGCATTTCATCAAGCACCCAGATGGCACAAACATGACAACACAACTTCTTCTTAAATAAAAAAAAGGACAATTTTTATAACAAATAATTCAACAATAAAAAGGTACGGCCTTTGTGATGCTAAACTCAAAATTCTTTCTTAAATTAGAAGTACGAGAGATCAAGAACCTGAGGAACTCAACAGAAGAGAACCCAGCGTGCCCATCAAAAACCGCGGCAAAAGCGAACCCATCAAGCCCATCCGATCGAAGAACCACGTCATCCTCCATCTCCGACCTCCGTCCCTGCACGCTGCTCGATCCCCACCGCACTCCAGACACGCCGCCGGCGAGAGACGAAGGTACGTCGACGGCGATCGCCGAGCACTGCCTCGGCCTCGTCCTTCGAGTTCTCACGCTGGTGATTCCTCCTCCTAGGTTGGGGAGTGATCTCTGCAGCTGCGGGCTCAGCAGCGCCGCTGCCATTGGGGGTGGTGATGGCGGGAAAGTGGGAGGAGAATGGAGATTTTTGTTTGCGGGGTTCGATTGGATTTTGAGGAGGAGATAAGGTGAGAGGGAAAGGGAAGTGGTGTTGGCCTCAGGATTATTTGTACGGTTGGATTTTGTTGATAGGAATAATGATTGTCAGGGGAGGGACAGGATTCGTCCGGTTGAAAATTTTGCATGGATTTTAAATATTTGCAGAAAGTAACAATGTGGCTTACGCCAAAGAGAGGAACTAGAGGCACACTCTCCACTATATCTCCAACCACACCTCCCCTCCTACTACAGTGCATCGGGATCCACTTGAGATTTAAATTTTAAATCTTAAGCGGACCCGGTACACTGTAGCAAGAGGGGGAGGTGTGGTGGAGATTGTGCATCTATCATTTTTCTACACCAAAATAACTTAGTAATAGTAAATATTAGTTATAGTAAATTCTAGGTTATCATACTTCCTTTAAGGGCCCATTTGGTTCGTGTTTTGAGTCGTGGAAATGTTTTTCTCCTCCTGACACCCGCTTCACATCGACAAAACCTATTCTAAGGTTTTCGTTTCCCAGCTTTGGTTCGCTTTTCCCCCTCGTCCCTCCAGCCGCGGAAATCCCCTCCACATCAGACTTTTTTCTTCGCCTCATTTCCTTCGAAAACGAGAGGAAATCCCCCACGATCTGTACTATTGTCAGATCTCGGGGTTTTGGGGGGAAACGGAGCTGAGGGCTAGGGTCACCTCCTCTTTCCCTCGTTTTTTCACTCTTCGCGCCTTGGTTTCTCTTCGTGGCTTACGGGAGTTCTATTCTGTTGATTTTGTGTTTGATTTCCATAAAAGAAGGCCCTAGTTCCTATTTATTGGTGTTTTTGCTGAATTTTGCTAAAAAGTCAGTGCCTTTATTAGGAAAAATTTTGGGTTTTTTGCCGACTTTGATCTTCCTGGAAATTGATTTCAGACCTAATGTATGATTCTCAACTCAGAATTGATTTGTTAAAAATTTTGTATGATTTGAATTATTATGATGAAATTTTGTATTTTCTATAGTTATCTAAAATTAACAGAAATTTATCTAAAAATATAATTATAATTAACTAAAAATATTATTGTAATTAACTAAAAATATTACTATAATTAACTAAAAATTATATTAATTATTATAAATATAATTAAAAATATTACAGAAATAAACTGAGAATTATCTTAAATGGTCTTAAAGTAACTGAAAATATTAACTGAAAATTAACTTTAGATCTTGTTATGCGTCATTTAAGTTTTGATTATTGACATTGCATATGAATGCTTGGTAGGTATATTAATTATTTCAATTTGATTTTTGCATCGTAGATGGATGGTGATGGGGATTGTACTGATGAACAAAGTGTTGTTAATGTGTTGATTTTTGCATCGTAGATGGATGGTGATGGGGATTGTACTGATGAACAAAGTGTTGTTAATGTGGTTCTATTTGAGCTCATGTTTTGTGGATGCTCTGTTGTTCAACTTCTATTTGAGCTCATGTTTGTGCACACCAGTTTTCCTGATTCTCTGGTTTGTGCTATGTTTTGTGCACATATGACATCTTCTCTTTTGCTCAAGTTCTATTTGAGCTCATGTTTTGTGGATGCTCTGTTGTTCAACTTCTATTTGAGCTCATGTTTGTGCACACCAGTTTTCCTGATGCTCTAGTTTGTGCTATGTTTTGTGCACATATGACATCTTCTCTTTTGCTCAAGTTCTATTTGAGCTCATGTTTTGTGGATGCTCTGTTGTTCAACTTCTATATGAGCTCATGTTTGTGCACACCAGTTTTCCTGATGCTCTGGTTTGTGCTATGTTTGTGTTCAGTCACTTGGAGTTCTATTTGTGTTTAGATTTTTCACACTGTTTGTTGATTATGATCTTGTTTGTGGGTGTTCAATTTAGGCTATAATGATTGTTAATTTTTTTGAGATTAGCAACCTACAATATCTATTGATATTGTACTGGATGGCTAACAATGATGATATTGAACATGTTCTGAGCCCACAGCCATAATTCGAATATACATGTGGCTGATTTATTTGACGTGATGTCAAGAAATATTTTCAAATGATTTTTTGCACATAAAGTTCAACATGCATAAATTATCAGGTTCGATGCGATTTGCTATGTTATATACATATTTATGGTTATTCAGGTCGTTTATATGTTTTTATAGGTTTCAGAAGATTTTTTGGCTAATTCAGGTATGTATTTCATAAATTTATAAATAATCGGGTTATTACAGGTCTTGTTTATTTTTTCTTGGAAAACAAGTTTTGTGTGATTATTTTCATCTCAAACAGGTATATTTCAGGTCAAATCAGGTACGCAGTTCATATTACAGTAGGTTTCATATGATTTCAGGTTTCGTATGATTTCATTAATACAAACAGAAATTTATAATTCATTCAGGATATTATTATTTGTTCATGATACATTCGCACTTTTATATGATTAAGATTACATCTCATAACTAGCACAAATAATTTTTGTCTATAGTGGGGGGTAATCTTATCATGGTGACTCTAAACACTTTTTCCTACACGCTTCAAAACCAACCAAACACAATAAAAGTGGGAAATGTCAAATTAACAAAAGTTTTTCCTTTTTTTCTCATGCAAACCAAACACAAGAAAAATAAATACATTGGTTTCCCACTATTTTTTTGTGCGAACCAAACCAAAACAATTTATTTCTTGAAAAATTTTGGAAAACTAAAAACTTGTGTTTCTTTACATGGAATTATATTTCCCTATATCTAGGAAACAAACCAAACAGCCCCTAAAAGTACGAGATCGGAAAAAACTTTCTATGATCAATATTATCCTTAACTTTTTTTGAATATTACAATGTTATCCTAATCTATTCTAATTATCATATCTTATTTGAATTAGTAACTAAATGATTTATTCTATTCATAATGAGACTTAACATGTTATTGGATAAAAGAGATACGTTTCATATAATTTAAATTCTTTACTTATATTAGTTTGTACAAAAATCTAAAAATATATGCTAGCCAACACCTAAAAAAATTTGAACTTTGTAAAAAATATTCTCTAAGTTTTTTAAATTGCAAAAACTCTCCTACAAATTACAAATTTTTATTAAAGCATCTTAAAAATTTTAAATTTTACTTATTTTAATTCAGTGAGAAATTTAAAAAAAAACATATGCTAGCTAGAAATTGAAAGTTTTTTAACTTCGGAGAAAATATCTTATAAGTTTTAAAATTGTAAAACAACCCTAAAAATTCAAAATTTATAAAAAATACCTTAAAAATTTTAAATCTATAAACACACTAAATGTTAGACCCTAGAGGGGGTGATTAGGGTCTTATGCTAATCTAATCCGATTTTATGCCAATTAAATCTTATTAACAAGTTATCCTAGCAAGTATGAAATACAATAATATATATGAGCTAGGATAAGCAATATGAACAATAAGATATATCCTAACAAAGAGATATAGGTAATGTATGTGCAAGGATATATAAACAACACAAGGGTAAATAATCTAAACTAGATAGTGGACAAACTAAATAGTGAGACAATGGCGAAATGAGCAATGAGTACAAATAAGAATAAACGCCAAGGAACACACAAAACACAATCAAATGATCATGGAGTTCGGACCTTCCGTCCTAAGTCTCCGCTCCCCACTCCCGGGGAGAAATCCACTATCACAACCGGGTTTTCTACGTTCACCCGAATAACGTTTACACTACACAATACGGTTTTCTAGTTTACCGAAAACTATACAACTAACACACTCTTGTAATCCCACTCTACACCCTCTCAAGTGTTGAACTAGACGTGTCTTCCTCAAGTGCTCGGATACAACCTCTCCCTAGGTTCGTCAACCGACGCCACTCCTCTTGGGACGATCCTCAACTCTCGCCACACACTTCTCTATGTGTACAAGTGTATTACAAAGTGAATCTCACAATAAGCACAATTACAATAAATGATTGTTCTCTAATATGGATGAGAACACAATGAAAGCCCACACTTAATTGTTACAACTCTTACCAACCCAAATATACTATGTATGTAAATACAATAAGCTCATGTGGGTGTGTATAAACAATGAGTGAAACAAAATCAACTAAACTCAAATGTAAAAACTAGCTTAATAGAATTGATAATCAACAAGTAATTATGAATAAAAGCTAGAATTGAGTTTAGGAAAACTTCTCTAGATGATAAGAGAGAGAGAGATAGATTGAAGCTTAATGAATTGATCTCCACTTCCTCTTATGAAATTCTTCACAAAACAAAGCCTTAAACAAACTTAAAACAAAACTTAAACTCTTTTAAAACTTATTTAAAACATTTCTTGGATTGGGTTGAGAACTGAGATCAAGAGAGTATTTATAGCCTCCCAAAAACTCAGCCAAGAACCCCAAATAAAAGACCAAAAACCCCCCAACGAATCAGAAATATGATTCTGTACCAAATATGACCGTTGGGCGATCGGCGGTCGACCGCGACGGACAACAGGAAAAGCTCCAGAGACTTCGGCGGTCGACCGTGGCGGTCGACCGTGAGAAATCTCGAGCTCACGGTCGACCGCGACGGTCGACCGTGAAAGTCTCTGCTGCTCACTGACGAATGAACTCAGGCGCGGTCGACCATGGCAGTCAACCGTGAACTGATATATGAAATTACAGGTTTTGAAAACCGTTTGCTGATTTTAAAATACTGTTTAAAATATCAAATAAATTCTAAAAAATATAAAACTTTAGGTAATGATTATAGACATGATAATAAACATGCTACAATGACTGGTTTGCAAAAAGGACTTTCCAAATGTAAAATATCATTATTTTGTAAGGATGTCCAAAACATAGAAATGTAAACATATGAATTTTGACATTTTGCCTAAACCATATTTTGAAACTTTACAAAATAATTTTATAGACTTGAAGAAAGATGTAAACTATTGTTATGAAGTCTATAAATAATGAATGTAGTATTTTATCAAAATACACATATAATGCACTAAAACATGATTTTATTGAACTAAATAAAATTGATATTGATGAAATCATATA